AAGTATCGTATTTCAAACAATCATCCTACCTCTTTCTCAACTTGGATTTCTATTTACGCATTTTTAATCATATATTCAAATAATAAAATAGGTCCTACATCCCAAATATATAAAAGTCCCTAAGTTAAAGGCGGGACATGTGTTGAGCGGGCCTTTCGTCCATGATTTTTATTTTTCCTTCCAATTCAAAAAGACTTCGTCTGCTTCCATTTTGTTTTCTTTCATTGGATTCACCCATAATACAAGGAAGGAACCCATTTCTTTATTTTGTTTCCATTTGTTTCTTCTGCCAGAGGAAACCCTTGCGCCGCACCGTTTCTTTTGTTCTCTCGCGAAGAACCTATGCCAAAATCATTTGTTGTTGGTTTTAATCTACAAAAAGAAGGATATTGGGTCGATGGATTCGGGAAGAAGGGATTTTCCTGTGAGGAAACAACGTGCAAGATTTCTCATTTTTTGTTCAATATTTCTTTTTTGTTGTAGTTTTTTCTTTATTTTCATTTCTGTTTTCTTCTTTTGTCACAGGAAATGTTGAACTAAGGAGGGCAAACCAACGAAGAGAAGAAAGACGAGGGAAATCAATTTAATCAAATTGAGAATTCAATTTACAGAAATAGAAAGAGGGCTGAATATATAGATGATGGAATCTAACTATCAACAGAATGAACAAAGCAAAAAGACTGAAATGCCCCTGACTAAGTAAAAGACTGAAATGCCCCTTATTATCTCAACACTCCCCCTCAAAATGGCGAGTGTAGATTGAACACTCCCATCTTGTTAAGAAGCAAAGCAAGTCGTGCTCCAGTTAAAACTTTAGTCAGCAGATCAGGTAATTGCAACTGAGAAATCGTGTACAGCATTTTAACCTCATTGGCTTGGACTTTATCTCACACCAAATGACAATCTATCTCGATGTGCTTGGTTCTTTCGTGGAAAACGGGGTTGCTGGCGATGTGAATGGCAGACTGATTATCACAGAACAACAATGCTGGCCTGCTGTGATCAACTCCCAGATCACTCAATATATATTTCAACCATGTAAATTCACAGACTGCTGTCGCCATAGCTCTGTATTCAGCTTCAGTGGAGGACCTGGATACGGTATGTTGTTTCTTAGATTTCCATGACACAAGAGAATTCCCCAAGAAGATGCAATACCCTGTGACCGATCTTCTTGTATCTGAACATGATGCCCAGTCGGCGTCACAATACCCTTTCAACTGAAGATCAGAATTACTAGGAAAGAACAGCCCCTGTCCTGGTGCACTCTTCAGGTATCGCAGTATATGGTAGGCTGCCTCCAAATGAGGCTGTCTTGGGGACTGAAGAAACTAACTCAAAACCTGTACAGGATAGGAAAGATTTGGCCTGGTTATGGTTAAGTACA